TCCCTTGATTTCCCCTTCAACTAAGGTTGTACTTCACTTCCCCTGCTAGCAATTAGTCTCCAGAATGCTATTTGTCAAAAGCCAAGCCATTCTTTTCCACTAGTCTGCCCCCGCCAGCTCTTGTTACAATTGACTGTTTCCTGCATGGAGAAAACATAAGCCCTTGGAGGACGGAGAAGGCCCAGCAGCTGGCTAAGGCCACAGTCTGACAATGTGTAGCAATGTCTGTCTAACATTCAGGAAAGAGAATCAGACGATAAACGTGGCATAAACAAATCAGAAATTTGCCACCGGGAGCAATTACTACCTCTGTGTTTCGAGACGTAGCACATTTATAAAACATTTCATAAAGGAAACCATTTCTTTGGACAACTGGGAGTTGGGGCAATGCAGAAAATAGGTCAATCACAGAATGACACCTATTGATTTTTGGAGCAAGATCTGTCGAAATGTGGGCAATGTAAATGTGCTGTAAACAAATATGATAAAGAAAGGAGAGCCGGACTGGCTGACAGTACCATAAAAATGTAGCTACACAAAACCCCTGAGGTCTAACATCTATATGGCACAATGTCATTTTTCCTCTATTTTCCCAATGATTGCAGACGAGGCATCGGCATACTTTAGTCACCCCCGGTGAGGTAGGAAACCTATTCTATCTGGGTTACAAGGGACCTGGAGAGCCATCAGTCAGACGTTTTCTTGGTAAATCACCAGCAAAGAGGGAACTTTTGAGAGTGCAATTAACAACCTCAAGGTCAGACTTCTCTGGAGAGTTAGCTCTGAAGAAAATCCTCAGGCATTCTTTCTCGCTCTTCTCTCTTTTGCCATTGTCCTCACAGCTACGTACTCTCTCTCTCGTCCTCCTCTGCGCACACATACATTTCTTTCACTCTTTTTCCTTGTTACTCTCTCGTCCCCTTCCCACCATCCCTCTGAGCCTCCTTCCTCCCTCCTTCTCCCTTCCTTGTCTCCATTACAGATAAACATTACTTTGTGATCGGTGGCGACACCATTTCTTCCCCAGCACCACAGTAAGGCTTAAAATCAGTCGCAGGTGTGCAGAGGATGAGAGCCATGGATCTTAATCTTGAGGCAATAATGGTTCTGTGCACTGAAGAGGTCAATATGGATATCTGAGAAAGCAGCTCACGCTCATACCTGCTCCTAAGATGGGGCAAGAATGAACTTTCCATGTTGTTGGCTGTGTGAGAGCACTTTATAAATTGGGCTGAAATGGATTTCTTAAGTCTGCTTTTGCAGTTGGCTTGATTAAGCACTTGACAAGCACAATAGATCTTTGGGTTTTGAATACCAGGCTTTGAAGTGCTATACAAAAAATAATTAGATGTCAAGTCTGTGCTGTTGGTTGGAAATTGGACATATCATTAAGAAAATAATGTATGACATTAAGAAGGGATGAACTGGTAAAACTTTAACTATGAGGATATTTCAAAGCAAGAAACAATTAACTAGATTATGGGGCATGCTCTTGTAAATATAAAACAGGTAGATGTCATGGGGGGGTCAAAATAGAGATGGGACAGCTTTATAATAACACTAGGGCTGAAACGATTAAATTCATAAAATCGATTAATAAAATGCTTCGACACAAATTCTTTGCATCGATGCTTCGTTTAATCCATGTAACTTTACAGCACAGTGTTTCGCAGGGACATTTATTACTGTCGAACATCGCGCTGATGCTGTGAACATGACGTTTGATGCCACTGTTTGCAAAGAGGAGGAAGAGAGAGAAAATAGCAAGGGACAAAGAAGAAAGTGTCCAAAGTATGGGATTATTTCAAGCTAAAAGAAAACAACCACTGTAATGTTACCGTCCATCTACCGTAAAACAAAACTTATGTCGCCTCGGCAACAGCACGACGGCACCTGATCAGAAAGCAGCCGGTGTTCTGCCAGCAGACCACAGACAAGGTAACAGTAACAGCAACTTCAGCATTTAGCTGAACTCATGATTGGTTGTTTAGATGAAGGCTCGCCAAAGTAAGCAGTCCTCAGCTGAAAATGTGCACACGTGCGTTTGTTCTCCTTTTTGGGCTGTGAGTTCACAGTCAAGAGTTAACTGGGTGTCAGGGAGCTGCACCTTTTAACTCCCCTCCAGGTCTCTCTGTAGCTAAGACAATCCCTGCTACCTGCATGTGCTAATCCATCCTTCACCCATATTCTTTGTCTTTATAACTGTTATCTTTATAATAACAAACAACAGCTGTTTCGTGTGCAGGATCGCTCATTTCACGTTTCACATTTCACGTGTTTTCTTGACAAAACATGGTTTGGAGACCAGCGTCGGGTGACACAGCCGCTGTCAGCTCCTGCAGTGTGAGTATGTCCCTGTCACCGATCTGTCACGTAGTGTGAACACCACACCGACTTCAAGACTGTTGTCATATGACGGCAAGTTGTGTGAATGATACGGCCATTGGCCGACGCTGAAAGTCATGTAGCCCGCACGAGCCTGTAGTATAGCTTTTATAGTACTCGGGTGATGTTTGTGTTTGTAAAGCAGCTGTCTGGTTGTTGGTCTGATGTTTGCTGTATGACAAACTATGAATTTCCGAAAGGACTAATAAATATTTATCACCTATAAAGCACAGCTGATCCCGTTACTGGCAGGGGGGGTGGGGGGGCAACCAAAAGTACTTCTTAAACGACGCATTGATGAATCGTTGAAATAATCTATCAAAGCTTCGAATATTAAATCATCGTTAGCTGCAGCCCTAAATAACACTTTTTGCACTGAGCACACACCATCCGGGATTTCTTTGATTGTTCCTACCTACACATGGCCTTCACATACCTACAGTTAGTTTTTTTCTTTCTTACCTGGCAGCATGACTAAATAAAAGGTCAGCTTGTGGCAGCAGAGAGCACACTAATGAAACACAATAAAAACCGAAAGCTTCTCAGCTAGTATGCCAAAGTTTCCAAAGGCATTGGATATTTTCTCATCATGGTTGCCCAAAACCCAGCACAACTGATATATATATAGACACAAGATAAACATCCAAAAGCAAATCCAAACTTTGTCTCTGGTTGTTTCTACTTATGTGGGGAGTTTGGCTGATAATTTCACACTAATGATACTTTAAAGATGCCTGGAAAGGATAAATACAAACACGGCTTTGGGAGATAACTTGGTTGTGCGTTATTGAAATGGTGTGTGTGTGCCCGCACTAATAACTGGAAAAGATTTTAAAAGGTCATAGTTTCTCATTCCCATTATATCAGGATTATTCTATGTTGAGGGTAAATGATTTATAAGACATTCCCCATGGCTTTCTTGTTGTCCGAAGGTCTCATTAAGAGGATAAACAGGAACTTGGATTATAAAGCGATCATCCCTGAGCAGAGGTAACAAGCTGATCTTGCGCAAGGGCAGTGAGATGATCAATATGCTATTCCACAATACAACCATATAAATATCAATATTGTGGCAATCCCAATGCAAGGAGATAATTATAGTGGGACAGTTATAAAACTTCTGTCTAATCCAAGGAATAGATTCAACTTAAAAAGAGATTTTTACTCTTAATGGGCGACAAGAGAGAGCTAAATCAATGACTCGTCAGCAAATAACTATTCAATTTAAAGGAGGACTCAGGATGCAGTGATAAAGCTGCCCATAGGGGCAACTTTTACTGTACTTTTGAGCAAGTTGCCATCGATTGGACAAGTAATGGGGAGTGATGTTCGATAACTGTACATTACTTTACAAGGTATTAGTGTTGCACATTTAATAATGAGAGAGTGTTGTTTCTTTATTAGATGGATCTTCACTGCCATGCACTGCTGTTTAATTGCCCTATTGTGTACCAGCTTCAGTGGTGGATTATGCTGACCTTAAAATTACATTTGCATGTGTATATGCTGTAAGAGAATCTAAATGTGTGAGGGAACCGCTCATGTATCATAACACAATTACTGTTTTCATTTGTATAGGGCTCTGTCTTACATACTGCAGGATCACATGGATTATGCTACCTCACTTTTAATAAAACATGAAAGCCACAGCTGTTCTCCACACATTTCAAGCACATGTCTTCTTATGTCTCTCTTAGCTATATGGCTACAATATGTTAAAATCAGTCGCAGGTGTGCAGAGGATGAGAGCCATGGATCTTAATCTTGAGGCAATAATGGTTCTGTGCACTGAAGAGGTCAATAGGGATATCTCAGTCCGTATTGCCTTTGCTACAGAGCAAAAAAGACATGCAGTACTATAACTGATGCCGTTTACTATGTTAGTTGACTCTCGGGGCCTTGAGACCGTGTTGCAACACTTTTACAATTTGGGAAACCACCAGATGCCATTTAAATAACCATAACCATAATTGCTTCAGCGAGTTAAGGCAACAGCATAAGATTTGCCTAAAAATGACCTTTTGTACACAACACTTCAATATGCAGGACTGGGATTAAATCTTAGACCAACTTGTATGACGGCATATGATAATATATATATGTGTGTGTGTGTGTGTGTGTGTGTGTGTGTGTGTGTGTGTGTGTGTGTGTGTGTGTGTGTGTGTGTGTGTGTCAAAAAAAGTGTAGTACTGTCAAATTACATTGCATTCACTGGTATCTGGTCCTCGGGGCGGCTGTGGCTCAGGAGATAGCGCGGGTTGGCCGTTAATCGGAAGGTCGGCGGTTCAATCCCTGGCGGTTCAATCCCTGGCTCCCCCTGGCTGCGTGTCGAAGTGTCCTTGGGCAAGATACTGTACCCCGATTTGCCCCTGGCGGCTATTCCGCCAGTGTATGAATGAGTGTGAATGCTAGTTTCTGTTTAGGCTCAGTGTATGAATGTGTATGACTGGTGAATGCAGATGTAGTGTAAAAGCGCTTTGAGTGGTCGAAAAGACTAGAAAGGCGCTATACAAGTACGGAGCATTTCATGCATGCATGAACTCAAGCCAAACTCTTGACTCACTGTCAAAGAATTCGCACGCTTGCACCACACACACACACACACACACTCCTACCTGGCATGAGGGACATCGATGCTGGAGGAGACCACTTTGCGTTTCTGCTCTAGCAGGGACACTGATCGGGTGTCAGGGTCCCGGCCAACCCGCTTGCCGTCCACCGCCCGCTGCTCCTCCACCGCTTCTGGGCTGAGGGAGCTGCCTTCTACCTTCTGGCTTTCTGAAGATCCGTTACTGGAGCTCTGCTGGAGAGGGTTGTGAAGAAGAATAAGTCAGTGTGTGGGTTAAAAAACAAAATGTACGAGAGGTAGTAACAATGATGATGAGCCATGAAAAATGAAGATGCAAAGTTATGCAGAGTACAGAAACAACGCTCCTTTGGTAAAAGGCCCAGGGTCAGGAACATGTAATTTATTTCTGATTAATGCCAAGAAATACTGCCCATTTAAATTACGTACTAAAATATCACAGAAATATTACTTGAAAACACTTATAAAACACAGCAGCAGATATAAAGTTGGGCTCTCTGCTCTGGACCTGGCTGTTGAAACCTTGCAACCCAAATTTTGCACATTTTCATGTTTACATTTCAAATGAAGGAGTTAGTACATGGCCCAGAATGGTTTAATTTTCCAGCCTCTTGAGCTTAAACAAGCCTTTCGAAAACAGATCGGATAAACTCAAAAATGCACAGTGGTCAGTTATAAAATTAGGCTGTTCTTCTTAGTTCCTGCAGACATTGCTGTTGACAAATCTATTAAAAGTGCTTTCTTGTCACGAAAAATAAATGAAACTTCACACAAAATGATGCACCTGTGACCTAAGGCCTTTCTTGATGGTGGCTCTTGAGCCATTTGTTCAAAACTTGTAAATTCAAAAACTTTACAAACTGATAATAATAAACTATTTCTAACGACACAGGGCCTTATGAGAGGAATAATCTGTGCATTACTTTAACTGTGGAGACTCTGACCACCAGTAACGTTACGGAGTGGGTCCAAGCTTTGTTTGTATTGTGCATGAACACGTGGGTGCTGCAATACATTATTTCATTGATCGGTATGTGTGGCAGTGATGCACAAAGTAGCAAAGCAAAACCAACACGGATATAAATATTAAACAATAGCTAAAAAAGCCTTTGCAATGTGAAGGAAAAGCATTCAAAACATTTGTTGTTATTTGTTAGGATACACACAATGCATTTGGGTGAGAAACACTAAATGTAAACAGAAACTATTTTAAAAGATAATTCCACAGTCCACAATTTCTAAAGTGGAAACTATATACCATAACTTATGTTACTCGCTTTTAAAAAAAATATTATTTTAATAATAACAGATAACATCATTTTTATAAATTGTTAACTGAAAAAAATATATAACCCGAGTTCTCCCTCAATTTTAGAGGATCAAAAACATTTCAGAACCTGAAATACAAGTTTCATCGTGTCCTTTTATCATTCAGAGCACATTGTTGCCAAAAAGATTGTAGCTGGTGGATGAAGTTCTAATGCAAATGGTGCTCTCTGCCATTTGAGTTCACCCTGATGTCTCTATGAAGTCACAGGGAAGCACTGCAGGTGAGCTGTTGTGTGTAGCATATCATATCCTAGGCTATTAGTGAACAGATTTAGCTGGTTTCACAGCAACTACACAGCAATTGTGCTTCTATAAATTATTTGCCTCATGTTTGATGGCTTAAAAACTGATGAGGAAGAAGTTGTCAAAGTGAGGGAATCAGAACCTATGGGTCTCTTTGTTTCAGCCCTTTGTAGTCCATCCACAAAACACACACACGGAGAACCTTGCTGCCACGAAAACCACATGCAACAACACACACAAAAACTCCATCGAGCAAGGCAGCACATGTCAACATTTTCCCATGCCATACACGCATACCAACAAAGGAAAACTATTTCTCCCATCACAGTACTCTGAAAACGCCTACCTGTAGCAGGGTTAAAAAATAAATAAATAAATAAAAAACAGCTCAACATCATCTCTTCTCTTACACAACAGCAACGAACGGCATCCTTCTGCACATGAATACCTGCTTGTACCTACGCACACACCAACACACACATCTCTGTAGGTAACCAAAGCCATCAAGCTCTTGGAAACACACTGAGAAAACGCCAAAACACAGCCAGAGGGACATGCACGACTGCCCATGCCAACGGAGCGTTCAGGAGTATGACATGATGCAGGCCAGTGTGTGTGTGTGTGTGTGTGTGTGTGTGTGTGTGTGTGTGTGTGTGTGTTCTAGATCATTTTCTCAAAGCACTGTAACACGATTAGGCTCAACTGTGGAAAAGCCAATGGCACCCTGTAGTCAGTCACTCACACGAGAAAACCAAGAGAACAATTTACTTAGATTAATAAGGTAAAAAAACATGAGAAATGAGTATCCGGTGTCCCTCATGATAGAAGCTGGTCGCACAAACACTCAGTGGTGCGCAAAACGCTCTGTGAAAACACAGACTTGAGTAAAACAACAAGATGGATTACACCGGCTCGGGGAAGATTAGGTGTTGTGTGTAGGACGGGTGTACTCCTCGGATAAAACAAACGGCAATTCCATCCTTTCGCCAGGCTTATGAATGATGGCATTTTATGGAGCCAGGAAATTGTGAAGCATATCAAATTGGTAGTGAAATTTGAGTTTCATGTGTCAAAGCTTGTAGTATGTATGTATGTATGTATGTGTGTGTGTACCTGCCTGTGCACAGAGAATATACCCTAAGTGTCCCTCATATCCCCCGCTCTTTATCTCTCCCACTCATAACGTACTTGCTTTTGGGCAGTTTGTCAAGCGTAAAGATTCTTGAACCTTTATGGGTCAAAGGTCATAATAAAGCAAGCTGACACAGACCATAAATTGAATCCCATGGACCCTGTGTCCCAACAGACAACAGTGTCTTTTAGCTTCTATTGTTCTTTGTTGCTAAGAACTGTTTGCATTAGCACATTTAGTGAAAATGGTGCGGATTAGGAATGTTAATGATTACTCTCTGGTCTCACACTGCCCTTACACAGCCTAACATTAGATTTTCTAAACCTATATGACCAAACAATCGCTCGAATGATGAAATTTTCAAATCGCAAAAACCTGCAATTTTAATTTAAACATGCATAACAAATGTTGCTGGCGAATTTACTCAGCTGTAGCTAATAACTAATTAACATTCACGCCATTAGTTGTCACTACATGAAACTCGTGTGCCGTTGACGTTAATACACTTCAAATCTAATGATTAATATCAAGCATTCTACCAATGTAATAACTTTCTAAGTATGTTTCTTTTGTAAAACTAGCTAATTTATGTCCATGTTTTTTGAATAAAAGAACCCACAACAGCAAACAACTGCATTATTCCATCGGACTGTTTTAATGTTAAAACAAGATGAATTTGTGAATTTGTTACAAACAACTTGTTCAAAACTATATACAGGCCTGGTGGTAATTTATACAAAGTAATAGCGATTTAAATTGCATTTGCAATACTCAAATTGTTCAGCCCTAACCCAGTCTCTCTTTGGTGTCATAGAAGAAGTTATTCTTAATGCAGAGGTGCAATTATGTGACTAACATTTTTAGTATGTTTGCCAATTAGAGACATTTAAATACTTCTGAGGGACACACATAAGAATAAGAAAAGGAGATTTAATGTATGTATAAATCTGTTTGTATGTTAGCACATATAACATGTACAAATACAACTCCTTTACCCTAAAAGATTACCCATACATCGTCACAAGGGAGGCATCCAGACTTGACCCTGTGGTCACTGTGCTTCATGTCGATGCTGCTCAGCCAACCAATAAGGACAGCCGACGCCGGCCTGCCTGGGATCAGCGCTTCAGAACAAAGACTCACTCAGATCCCATCAACAAGCTTGCTTCATTGACTCCCATGTCGGCGTACAATCAACACAAACAACAGCAGCAAGAACAACAAAAGCACCAGCAAAACAAAAACAAGCACCGCCTCTTCGTCAGCAGCGAGAGATCTGTGTAATATTGCGCACACAACACACACACTTGCACAAACCAACAAGTCAACAAGTGGTATCCTACTCCCCCCTTTCCAAACAGGGGGCATTCGTTTGCCATTCTGGGCAATATGCCAAGCATCCAGATTCTTTGGAGCATGCCACCCATTGCCAACCTGGGGGTGCCTGCTTTCTTGGTTGCACAGCTGCTGCTCAAACAGGGCGGCATGCCCTCCCAAACAACCACCACTCCAAAAAATTTAAAGTAGTCAGCTCTAACTCATTAAACACACAAATGCACATGTGGGAGAAATCACATTCATGCTTTATTATACACCCATGCACACAAAAAGCAACACAGACGCACATGTGAATCCATGCACACACACACACACACACACACACAGCAAACCCCTCCTCCTCATTTTACGGGGTTGTTTTCGACCTCAGTGGGAACTGAGAGCTGAAAGAGACTTGACCATTGTGCTGACAGGACTACGCTCTCAGCCCCAGCTGCACTACTCCAGCCTGCACCGGTGACTGTAGCGGTATTGTGCAGCAGCTTTTGTGAATGCAGCACTGCATACACAAATGTGCAAATGAAAAACAAGAGAACCCGGGTTTACATTGCATTCCCCATCGGTTAAAGATTTGACAATCCTCCATGCAGAGCTGCTGCATTCCTCTTTGTTAAGGTTTGATAATGCATGTGCAAAGTTAAAGAACAGTTAAAGCTTAATTTGAGATTTACAAGAATTTCAGAGTGTTGCAGCTGTATCCATAAATGTACACCCTCAGTACAGCTAAAATTTACATAAAGGAAACATGAGCTGTCCAGCAAGTGTGGCAACTAACAGTCGATGAACATTTCCGCTTTGGTTACATAAATAAGACTTTCGATTACAGACTGTTGGTTACTTCATCTATAACATCAAAACCCAACACACATGAATGCAAGGCTGCACAATACCACACCAATCAAAATACATCGAAATCAGGCCATAAACAAGCTGTTATCCAGTCACTCCCTCTCTATAAAAAGGACAGAACACACACACACACACACACACACACACACTTCCTCTATGCCAGAAACAGTGTTTTCATCCAAGAGCTGGACTGGCTTCTCTTCCTCCCACAATCTTTATCTGAGGCTGTGTGACACCAAAGTATACAAGTTGGAAGGCAATTAGGTCACTGCTAATTAGACCCATATCACAACTACAAATTTGAACATCATCGAAACTTCTTATCCTGCACCCTAATGGCTCAGGAAGCCTACACTATCTATTTTTTAACCGTTGTTAAACAATAATAGCCTTGATGTGCAGAATGAGTTCACATAAAGCCATATAACATTAAACTGGGTGACAAGTTGCACCATCTATAACTAAATGAAAATGGCCAAAATTTAATATATTCTTTTAGAGCTATTAGTGCAATTAAAGGCAGGATGCGCAAAATGGTCTGTAATAAATGAGATGTATAAATCATAAGCATATGTGTAAAACGCTGCAGTCAGAGCGTGTTTGTTTGCTTCGGCTTACCCACCCACTAGCCCACATAAACATTGCGCAGGCCCTATCAAGCCCTTTGTCCCATATATATGATGTCGCCAAATGTCATGACAGCATGTTATTTGATGCAATTCGCATTATGGCTATTGTGAATAATACAGATGTTGTCCCAGCTGGTTAAATTTGTCATCAGTGGCTGCAGCAGCGGCGGTGACACCGTTAAAGCCGCTGCGTGCAGGAAGCGGTTAAACGCTGCAAAACACCGCACAACAAAAACTGTGAAGCGCTGCCTGCCTGCCGGGGAGCTTTGCCCACACACACACCTTCAAGCTGGACTTGAGCGGTACTTTGGCCGCAGTCTGGTTGAACCCCGCGGCTATCTCCTCCTCGGAGAACTCCTTGAGGCTCCCGTCTTGCAGGAGGACGGTGTAGACGCTGCGCCGAGCTCCTGCGGCCGAGACGTCTCTGTTTTCCTGCTTGACAGCCTGGACCACTCCTGTCACCGGGGCACCGTCCCCCGTCGGACTCGGCGCATAAACGCGGCTGCCGAGGATGGACCGCTTTACCAAACGCCTCGTATGCATGTCTAAAAGTGTCTCACTGAATGCAGACTCGGCGAACCGGTGGATTTAAAACATTAAACGTCGAATTATAACCAGTAAACAACGTCGAGAAAAATACAAAACCGCAGCGGGTAGACTACGCGCTCCAACAGCCCTGATAAAATGTTAGAAAGCGGCAACATACTCGGAAGGCGACAACTCCAAACAGCGTCCCAAATGCACCACACTCAAAAGCACCGAAAACTGAAGGGGAACTACAAATTAGCACCCTGCAAGAGCCCACAACATGAAGACGATTCATTCGCCGCTAAACAACCTCCACATCCAACCGGCTACCAATCTCCCTCCGTTCGACCTGTTTGTTTTCCCCACTGCTCCCTGCGAGCTGAGGGGGCGGCGGGAAAACACGGATTACCGCCACGCTTGGGAACCGAAATGACATTTGTACACGATTTAACAAAATGGCGGCTTATGCGTAGAAAAACGACTCGGACATCGGGGAACGGAAGCTACTACGTCGAATTATTTCACCTCGCTCGGCCGTGCACGCTGCCATCCCTCCGCAGGTGTTGAACACGGTTGAAAACACGGCGGTGAGGTGACTCCAGCTCCGGCTATTGCGACTTCCAGTCCGCGTCCGGCGCCGACCGAGCAGAGCCTCTACCGGCGGAATGCTGCCTGTAAACATGTGCGGTCCGGTGGCCAAGGCGGGCTGCGATTGGTCGGAACAGTACACGCCTCCACAAGCCCCACCGCTCCCCCTACTCCTCCGACAGAAGGTAATGCAAGCCGGGAGGATGCTCCATTCAAAACAATGACGCAAGGATGCAGAGGAAACGAGAAGGGAGGGAGAACTGGCAGAAGGAAAGAAAGGGAAAGGGGGAATTTAGGCTAAGGAAAGGAAAACTTCGACCAGACAGACAGGCTTTATGCTATAACCTAGTTGTTAAAGCGTGTAGCCTACTTTCCAGGTGTCATGGGACTTCTAAATTACTATGACCTGGTTCTAAAATGGATGTTATGGGCTGCACTGGTCTGTTTTTGTGAATGTAAACACAACAGGTTCTTCAAAAAAAATTAACTTAACATGCCATTTTTATTCTACTAAAGGCACTGGCGTAAACATGCTCCAACATCAACCCTTCATAGCAGGTATCTGCCCAAATGTGAGCCAACCCACCCTTTAGCCAGGCCCATCAGATCATTTTGACAAACAGTGCTATCAAGGGTTTCATGTGCAAATAGTAAATTTAGCTAACATATATAGATATGTATGAAGGTGCAAATGTAGGCTATAATGGTGAATTTAGGTCAGCCTTGCCAGAAGTGCAAAATACCTGTATTTAATGTAATGATAACAGTAAGCCAGCAGTCATATCATACTAAAACCCTCATGTGAGCTACATCCTGTGCTAAATAAGAAACCTAAAGTGTGATCTCACAACATGGCACAAGTTCACAGTGCTTTGATAAATCAAGTTTACTAATTCATTCATCGTGATTATCTCCCCGTGTGGCAGAGAGAATATACCAAATAATGTTATCACAGTAACAAATAGCCTAATTAAAGTCAAATGTAATGTCTTTAGAAAATCATATGCAGCTTACAATCTTTCTACATGACAGTGAATAAAAAGACACAGTGACACAATTTATTATATATATATATATATATATATTTAATAGAACAATTCATGTCATAAAATATTTACATGCAGAGAATGGAAACCAGACAGAGTGGAGTGACAGATGTGGCCATAACTTCCAAAACAGGCTTTGCCCAGTGATCAAAGGCAGGTGTCACCATAGAGTTGTCTGCTGGTTGTAGGGGGAACAAATGGTCTCATTACAAAGAGTAGTGGAGCTGAAGGAGGGGCAGTGAGGGAACATCTCCAAACCTCTACCACACCATATTCCCTGAGGGGGATTGGGGGATTGTGTGCGTGTGTGTGTGTGTGTGTGTGTGTGTGTGTGTGTGTGTGTGTGTGTGTGTGTGTGTGTGTGTGTTTATATGACCAAGGAAGACAGCTAGAGAGAATAAGTGATTTTAGGTAAGTATCTATTAACTGTGTGTGTGTGTGTGTGTGTGTGTGTGTTTTGGCAATAAAACACCCCATTTGAGAGATAATTTCCTTAGAGAACATTTAAAATGTTATAATGTTCTGTGAACACCATTATATCTATGATATTATGCCACCAACCTGATACACACAGCCACATCACTCGGTAGCAACACTTAACAATTTTTTTGGGAGCTAAATAACAATGATAATTTTCTCTATATGCAGAAATGAACATCATTTGTTTGAGGACTTAATTTTCCTGTTTTCGTTCCTTAAAATACTGTGAATGGATCGCATTTCAAATCCTCTTTCACTGTAGCATTGCTGGGATGTAACAGCATTTCAAATGTCTGATATCATTTATAGAGCACGGGTTAGCTGTGTTTGTCTGAACCACCAACAAGCTCCTGCATGTCTAATGAAACATGAAGCTGGAGATACTGTAAGGCTGTAATATTTTGATGTGGGTGGAAACAGATGACACCAATTTGTCTGCAAAGACGGTAGATAATGTAGCAGTGGAAGAAATATTTACAGCAAAAAGCACTGGCCGTGTTCATTTGAAAATGAATTAAACAATAGTATTGAGACATTATTTCAGTTTTTTTTTTTTTTTTTTTTTTTAAATAAAAGTACCACACATACAGTTTCTTCAAATGCATGTACCAAAACATTGTACCATATTACTGACATTTGATTGGTTACAACTTCTCAGAACTCAAAAGCTATGTGACAACTTTGAGTAACAATACAAGGTAAAAAGCTGTTGGAAAACAGGGATTAAGTTTTCCTTAAAACAAGGCAGACATACATCAGTGCTCTTAACAGACTTATTTTAAAATGATACCACTCTGGACATTGTACAAATAAGTAATAGCTCACATAAAATTCCAGCAAGTAACAATTGGTTAAAATAGTGCTATATCTATATTTCCAAGCCTTGTTTGGCATGACGTCGGTACAAGCTACAAACAGTTATGGTTTTCTCAGAGTGCTTCTATAGTAAGTTAAAAAGCATTAGTTATTTAAATTGTGCAGCGATGTAACTGGATTGTGATAATGCTTTTGATAAGCTGTATATAAATGCCGTACCATGATATCAAACTTTGTGCTTTAAAATCATCAGGGATGGCAACTGAAGACTGTACTGTACCAAGAGTGAGCTCAAAAAACATGAAAAAAATACACTTGATCAATGGATTTGCATCAATAATGCAAGTTTGTTATTTTTATCACATTACACATCTTCTGAATTTGTTTGGACCCCATGCAATTCAACTTTTAAACAATGAATAAGAAAGTCAGAGAAAATGTACCTTTACAACTGTCATTATCTTACAGCTCACTTTCATTTTGTATCTTAATAAAAATGCTAGAAACATCTATAAAACCCTTTTTACTTTTCTCTCACAGACATTTCACAATTACACAACAACACGCATCATCAAATAAATATGAATTTCACAAAAAAATGCTGACATGGACTGTAAAACGTCTAAAAATGCTTTCAGAATGTATTGTGAAACCGCCCTCCTTCCCTTCTGCAGATGAATAGCCTCAACAAAAGAACATGCAGTTAAAAACTCGTCATTTCTATTTGATGGCGTAATCTATCGACTTCTACTGTATTTTTGCTAAGCATTTGGTCACAGATAAGACTGGCTTTTCATTTCCATACCTAGAACCCATTCACAAGAAATTCAAGCAGAGAATGCACTGTGGAGGTACTACCAACCTGCCAAAGAGTAGCCAAGAAATACATCATCTGAAGCCTCAATAAAACGTGACGCTGAGTCACCTGGATGAAGCTAGAAAGTCACTAGCAGCTGCAGAAGGGACTTGATAATGTTACCTTCATAACATTAACATTAAGTGCATGAATTTCATGATTATATGGCACTGAATTCTTGGTATCTTTGTTTGGGTTGTTTTTAAATCACAGGCACTGATAGTGTCCTCAGCTAACCCTTAAAATGCTGCAATGTGTGCTGTGATTGGATATTTATTTGATAGTTTATTTATTTGATCTTTTTCACAATCACATGTTGTTAAATGATGCGCACATATGTCAACATGACTAATGAGGAATTTAATGATGATCCAAAGTGCACTCTTCTACATGATTAATAACGACTGAGGTACTAGAGTTCATTTTCTAGTAGGCCTACCAATACCATTGACATTCACCCTGGTTGATAAATTAAAAGTTCAGATATGACAAACCGTACCCAAGCTGTAAAGAGGACACTCATGCGTTGATGATGGATGCTGATGCCGTTTTCCCCAAGTCATGCACCAAATGCATGCTATAGTGACGTCTGTAAGGTGTAAGAGAGGGAGCTCATAACAAACCGTCACAGATGAAGGGAAAACTCAGAGGCGGGACGTTTCCTGGTCCAGACCCAACTCTCCAACACTCTCGTAATCAGGCTCTGCCTTGGCAGCGTCGGTCCCCTCCGCTTCCAGCTCAGCCCTGTGGTCATCATCCGGGCTACTAGTTTTTGGGATGCGGATGGATTCGTAGCCGGGATCTGTGCACTCCGTGGCGAGATCCTCCCCCGGCTGGGGGTCGCTGGGCTGGCTGTAGATATCTCGGACAGTGGCGTAAAGGTCACTGGAGGAAGAGGTCGTGACAAGGCCTTTGATCTCTGCGATGCTACTGTAGTCGTGCTCTTTGTCGTCCTCGTTCACAGCATCATCACAGTTTGTTTTGTTGACTGTAGAGTACACTGCTGACTGAAGGACAGAGAAGAAACACATTGTTTTGGTTATTACTTGCACAAAACGGTTATAAACATACCTGCATTTATTTAGATAACAGGAATGTGAACATTGACGGATTTGTACCAAAAGAACCCTGCTAAGTTTTTCCCTCATAGCAAATTGTGTATGACTATTATACTTCTTTTTTTAATTTTTTTGGTGCTTGGAGCATTGGCATTCACAGAATAAAGTGCTGCTGTCTCGGGACTGGAAACGACAGTTTGGGGAATAAGGGAGTTTAACACACACTTACCTCACTGTCTGAAAGAATGTGGTTGTGGAACCCCGGTGCGGGAGACAGAGGGGAGTGTAACTAGAGGAGAAAAGAACAAAAGGTAGATTTAGATATGGCAGCCACTGTATCAAAAAGAAAAGACTGAGTGCAGTATCAGACATTTAAAACACGCCTAAGGCTTGTAGCCTTAGGCTTATGGCTCCTAAAAGTGGCTGTTGGGAACATTTGAGGATTCATCACACATTTTTATTTTTAAGAATTGGGTGGCACCTTCCTGTCGTAGAGTTTAATCAGTTCTCTTATAATCAAAAAAGCAGCAAGCTGTAATACTGAAATTTGATAGAGGTGTTCGAAACAACTTTGAGGGCATGCAGTTAAGATATGGTTGCATTGATCTGCATTACTTAAACATGCTGGCAAACTATTGACCAGTTCTCAAAAACGCAAACACCAATGGAAAATCTCTTTGAATGTCTAAAGAGAGTGCGTGGTGAGTGAACTTCTAAACTTTTCTCAGCAGTAGGAAAGATTTGCTTTTTTCTTCCTGTGACACATATGAAACTAATGTTGTATATGACCACCCATTCATTAAGAAAATTATTGAGTGAAAGTCAACGGGCAGTGGAAGAGAGTGTGATGTTTTTGTGCACGGCCTCTATCCACTTTGCCTTATGATCGATGAGGGAGCCATTAATCAACAAAGCACTTCTGACAGCCGCCCCAAACACCTCAGGAGTCTAACAAGAACCTCAATACCATTGCCAGCATTGACTAAATAGTTCATATCTGAAGTCTTGTGACACTAATAGGAAAACATTGCTTTTTTTGTATTATTTTCTTGACTGGATGTAGTCCTTGGTTGGCAGTATCAAGGTTAATGCACTTGTTGAGGCACAGTACTTGGAGCTTGTCAAGGGCACATGGCCACATAAGCCATGCTCTTATGTATTGAATGAACTGAGAACTGCGCACAGAGATCATCCATCACACCATCTGCCCCGGCTTTGTGTCATAGCATCCTCATGCAGATACATGTTTCTCTGGCATTTTCTCAAAGAGCATAAATCAATATGATTACTTTATGGATAACTCATGTTTGGAGACATGATTACTTTTATAGATCTGACACGCTCGGCAGCAGATGCCCTTTTCATTTCGCTTTAATTAGCCGACCAATTAGGCAGAGTGCCCCAGAGGAGTCTTCGTATGAAACATGGACGCAGGTGACTTGACCCAGTCACTGCACCTCTTGTGTGTGTTTCACAATATTTGTTCATCTAATTTTCAGCCTCCTTATTCTTGGCTCAAGTATTGTTGCAAATTAAAGCGGCATTTTCATTAAGTCAGTCACACAGTCAGCAATAAACACAGTATTTAACCTGGGTTTGATGCACATGGGCATACAATTTGAGTCTTAAAAACTTTATTTGATGCATATAAAACTAAGATAAAGACCTATAACAATACGTGGACGGTTGTTTGTTTCGTGTCAATACATGCAATGTTACATCTGAGAGATTAATATTTTGACGTATTACAATAAGACCTTGTGTGTGTGTGTGTGTGTGTGTGAGGCAGGATTATGGGAATGTGTTTATGTGTACGTAGGAGAGACAATGACACACAGAACACGCAGGTATGACAGTAAGCTGATTATAGCAGCCTCAGAAGATGGACGACTCAGGTGTCAGCGTGTCAGTAATGCTGACGTGCATGTTGACATACCGAAGCAGTATGAATACATCAGATCTGCATATATTATCTGTATTCCCTGTCTTGCACGTGCTCATTCAAGTATATAAACAACTCTCAACGAACTGTAGCTATGCAAATATAAAATATATATAAAACACATCAACACCCACTCAAATTATAACCTATAACGCACACTCATATTACATGCTCAAACTGTCTGTCTAACAATAGTTATTCCCTGTAGCAGCTCAACAGTGCTGACCAGCAGTTTACCTGTTCCCAGTTTATATCCCAGCAGCCCTCTGGCTGGGTCAAATTCATTTCCTGCACGTCACATTAAAAGCCCACAGGCGACATGTAGGCAAATGACTGCAAACAAGTGTTACTGCTCTTTATGAAAGTTCAATAACTGTACAACTACAAAGGGAGAAGCTGTGAATGAAAGGTCACAAAAAGACTGTGTGAGTGTGTGTCTGAGACAAATGTTTAACTAGAAACCAAGTGTATGTATGTATGGGAAAATGTGTGTATATGAGAAAGCCTGAATCTGTGTGTTAACAGCATTTACCGAGCTGATACCTGAGGGGATTCCTCTCAGACATTTACATACAGGCACCCCAGCATTTGCACAGATGAGTGTGAGTGTGTATGTGTGTGTGTGTATGAGGGACAGACAGAGAGTTACTATAGCCTGTATCATCCATCATGAAGCCAGACTAACTGTCATAGTGATGGTGGCCAGCTGGCGCTCACTAAGCTCAGACACACACACATGCACAAACACACACACTTGGTTTGACAAGACAAATCACTGACTGCTCCTGGTCATACACAGGCGTAAACCACGGAGAGTCGGAAACATTCTGTGTTAACCTTAAATCAGCCCCGGGGAGTCTATGTGTAGCAGAATATATGTAAACACATACATGCCATAGTATCTGTGTGTGTGTGTGTGTGTGTGTGTGTGTATAATGTGGAGGGATGGGGAGAAATAACAGAATTAATGCTGGGTCCGTCTATAAATGAGTGCATTTTTATGTGTGTGTGTGTGTGTGTGTGTGCGTGTGTGGCTGCCAGTATGCGTTGGAGATATATTGTAGTTCAGTAGATCAAGATTTCATCATAGAAACGGGGGTCAGATGAGGCCAGACTCTCCTGCTGTCCAAATGAGCAGCAGTGATTAACTAATTGCCCACAACTGCAGAGACAAAGGAATAGAGAAATGTGACAAAAAAGAGAAGAGAAATAAGGAGAGCGGGATGAAATGAACAGAGGAAACGAGAACCAAGAAGATATAGTGTATTAAAGGGTAATTCTGGTCTATTACAACCTGGGTCTTATTTTCAAAGTTTTGGCACTCATTTTGATCAGTTATGATACATCCAGCCCGGATAAGAAAGGAGCGTTCAGACAATCAGACAGGTTGTGAACAAAAGTCAGTGACACCTGAAATGTTGGTAATAATCCCTTATTGCAAAGGAAACTGCACACAACTAAGGCAAGTATGGTTGGTCAAAGTTGAACCAGGAAGCCAGTCTGTAGACTGTGATGAGTACTTACAACGGACAGTTTTTGGTAATGATTTTGCTGTTCGTCTCAGTCTTCTCTTACATATAAGTTTGGCTAACTTGAGCAACTGACTTGGTGAATAAATCTTAATATTACTGATAGGAATGATGGCCAAACCCGCAACAAGACTATGCATCTACAGCCATGCTTGTAGCTCTGTGAGACTGCACAGAGGCACAGTGGTGATTTGACCTGAATGCTAACATCAGCGTGCTAACATTGACAATGGTAACATGCTGATGTTTAGCAGGTGAAATGTTTACGCATGTCACCATTTGTGTAACATGTTAGCATGCTAATATTCACCAATTGGCCCCAAACACATAGCAGAGTTGAAAGCTGATGGGAAGCTCAAACCTTTGGGAGGTATTTGCTCATAAACCAAAGTATTGAAGGTATTAGCATTTTGACCTGATGATGGCTCTAGATAAAAGTCAGGAGATCAAAGTTATTACAATTCATCCAGAGAGAGATAAGAATGTATGTGTGTCCAAAATTCATGGCAATCCATCTACTTCAGTCCGGACCAATGTGGTGGACTGACAGACCAACCAACATAGTCACCATTAAAGTTGCACATCTAAAAATCAGATATGTTACAATAAACCATAATTATAATTTAAAATAGGAGAAGGGACAGTAATGCATAGGAACGAGGAGGAGGAAAGTAAATATGAACAGGACTTAAGAGAGGAAGAGGAAGACGGAGAGAAGAGAGAAGAGAGACAGCTGCCACTTCATGCAGCTTTGTGGTAGACCGACAATGTGATGTTTGTGTTTGTGCGCTTGTCAGCTTCTAACAGTCTTGTGATTCTTTCTGAGAGTGTGTTAGTGTATATTTTTATTGGTGTGTCTCTGTTGGAGCGTGCAGAGCAGCAACAGCAGCACCTCTGCGTGACACTGAACTGCTTCTCTTCTTTTCACCTCTCCATCCCTTTGCTTTTACTCTCCTTCCCTCTCTTCTCCTTTACATCTCCATGTCTCATCCCCTCATATTCTCTTTATCATCCTCATATCTTCTCTTTCCTCTCCTCTCCACTACAGATGGCTTCATTTGTATGCCGCTAGGCTTCTTTATTTCTCTCTATCTAAACTTGACTCTCTTTCTCTCTCACCCTTTATGCCTCCTGGTCCCCTAAGCTCTTTTCAAGTCAATCTCATATCATCTCTCTGTCACTATCTCTGTTTCATCTATTACTCTCTCCTGCTCTTCCCACCCCAGCTCCCATTTTCATTCTTTTCTTCTCCCTTCACTGCTACACCATTGCCTCTCTCTCTCTCTCTCTCTCTGAAATTTCTTCCCTTGGTCTCTCAAAGTTCTTCCCTTGGTCTGTTGCTCTTCCTAAAGCAGAGTAGGCAGGCAGCTTAGCAGATGATAACTGCAGTGGTGACACATCTCCCCTTTTCTTTGTTCTCCATGGCCTCTTTCTGAACATTATGCACATTTTAGTAGTATAGGACTAGTATAACACTCCACACACACACACACACACACACACACACACACAGCATTCTCACCTCTCCATTGTGCAGTCCAGCCCCCGCCAGCCCATTCATCACCACTGGCTGGTTGTCATTTTCATCCAGAACCTTCTCTGGTACCGGCGGAGGCAAGTCTTCTTCTGGTTCCTCCACAGGTTTATGTGGGGGAACGTTGGCATTATCGGAGCACCTTTTGGCCTCCATGTCGGCACTGTGACGGCTCTTCTTATTCAGGTCGATGGAGGCGTACTCCACCCCTATGCACAGGGGCGCCCGTTCAGTTGTGCAGGGGCTGAGGTGGCCGTTGAGAAGGACTGAGGGATGGTGGGGAGATTCATCAGGGCTCAGCTGGATGGTACCGTTGGGGAGGCCAAGCTGGGCAGGGGGGTCTTTGAGTTCCTTGACCGTCTCGTACAGGGAGTCTTCGACGCTGACGTCACGTGATGCCACCGCCATCTCCTTCACCACCTGGATGTCAAGATACATACACTGGATTCTTTAATACGCTTGTAAATGAACAAAGTACATTTAAAGCTTCTGTTCTCTAACTGAAAACTCAATCAATCCATCAGCCCAACCAATCAAAGCTTTAATATCTTGTAACAGACACAAGCACGGCTGTTGTAGGGTGACTTTAAACATAGACCTCATAGGTGCTGTCCCCTGAGGCTGGGGGTCTGTCCCCAATAAGGGCGTTGTTGGGAGGAATGCTGGGTAGCTCCCGGTCCTGAGGACACTTGGAGGACCTGAGCTCTGATTGGCTGGAGAGCATCTCCTCTGATGGCTGGGGACTGTTGTCTTGTGTGTCAGTGAGGACTGGTGGAGCACAGGGGAAAAGAATAGAAACAAGAATTAAAGAGAATTTACACAGACACATTTACTTTAAAAGTAGTTGTAATGAGTCACATTTTCCTTGCCCATCACTGCAGAATAAATCCATTACTATTTTTCTATTACTGATATTTAACAGTCACACATCTAAAAATGACTAAGAACATAGCATACAAATGGCCACGAAAAACAACAGCTGAGGTTTTGAATGAACCAAAGCTGTAAGACAACAAAGACATTGCATAACAACAGCTGCTAAGCAAATGTTATTGTCATGTAGGTAGAGCAGCAGAAACATGCTACACTTTGCCAGCAGTGACTGTAATTTCAGTATCATCGAGTTAAAATAGTTAACGAACACATGGCACGCTAAGATAATGCTACTATCTTGGCTTACTTGTACCGCTGGTAAGAGGACCATTGTGAGAGCTGCTGACGGCCACATCAGTCACTGGGCTGTCTGCTGATTGGCTGATCGTCTCTCTCTCTGACACCTGCACAACAAAGGATAAGATGTTTGTCACTGCTGGACTAAGCTCAGAGGTTGGCAGCTCAACTGACAAAGCGGAAGCATTTAATGCACATGCAACATCCAATCTCAGGTTACTTCAATGACACGTCACACACCCCCCCAAAAAAAATTTTTTCTAAAAGGGAACAGAAATAAATCTGCACTTGTCAGCTCGTACAGGGTAGATGACTTTCACACCTCGGTGCAGTCCCACAGCCACTGTCAGCAGATCGTGCTGTGTTTGGAAAAACATTTTTTAGAATCTTCAGAATTTCGGGAACTGTCATATTTGCAGCACTGATTGCAATTTCCACGCTTCCCTGTTCTTTATCTCTACTTTTCCTAGATTTTCCAATCACATTACTGATTATTTTAAGCTCGTTATCAGTATGTTACGCATGCTTAGTTAAATGTAGTGTATTTTAACCCATCAACAAAAGACATATAGAGATAGCTAGATAGAGTGTAAAAAACCAGATTTATGCCTGATGAAGAAATTATGCTGTTTATTCTTATCTACAGTTGATTGTAATTGGATTTATGACCTGGCTGAGCTGATCTGACATTCTTCTTTGATAGAAAGTGGTTTAAATGTCTTGCATGGACACGTCTCACTTTGAGTTTTTTATGTCATTTAATAAGAGACAGTAAGTCAGGAATAATAGCACAGTACAACGGAGGAGGCAACAATGATAGTGGTGTCACATGAATACAAATGAAAACCATAGAAAATGATATTTTATGGACACTCACAGGAAAATGCGTTTCCCTATTTCACCTTCCCTCCCTCAATAGTAAAGTCGAAGCTACAGCAACAACCCTGCAACACTCTTTAAACCATGCCCTCCAGTTGAAGGCTGTTTCCCTATTTGCTACATCACGTGGCAAAATCAGCAGCCGAATCAACTCTTCGAGTGAGCAAACACTTAAATCCACACTCCAAATATCAGACTGGAAAAAAACAACACAAATTAACACAGCATGTGTTGAACACCTGCCGCATTGAGGCATGATTTATTTATTTTTTCACACTTAAACATAAACCATCTTGTTTCTGTAGGCAAATATATCCCTCCGTCACTCACTATATATATATTAACGGGTGTAAGTCAAGATTCTCTTTGTTTAGGGTGGTTGTTGTCCTTCTGCGTGAGCAGAAGGTTGTGTGTTAAAAGCTCCACAACCCCATCTAGTGGTCAATTACTCTCATAACTATTGTTGTCTATGATGTAATCTTTAACTATTTTATGACCCAAACGTCTCATATTTCTTTATAGCTCACCTTATGTTATTCTTTTTTTGGTGGTTAGTTTGTCTTAGTCTCAGCCTAATTCCAGATCCATCTTTTCTCATTTTATTCCACATCCAAATCCTGATGTTGGAACGATGGATAATCTAAAAATAGTTTTAGATTTCTGGAGAATTTTGGAAACATGCTGGTGTTTGGAAGGTGAGGGACAGCGTTCCTTCATCGTGTTAGGACGCAGACACAGGGAAGAGTGACTGAGCGGGTGAGCAAGGAGAGCCAATCCACTCATCCGCATAGACAAAGACCCCATTTAACCTATCGGGCTGTGACATGGTCCCTCATTTAAATAGGCACCTCATGAAACAATTTGACTGCCCCGCAATTAGGGGTTACAGTGAAGATATCCATCAAACGCATAAATGCTCTGAGTAATGTGCACGTGCACGTGGGAGCATGTAGGCTCACACACACACACACACACACACACACACACACACACACACACACACACACATACAGAAAGCCCCAGAGGGAGTGACAGGATAAGAGAGTAAGTGGGTGTCACTTAATCTATAAAAGCCTGGCATTTGTCACACTTATATGTTGCTTGTTACTGATGCAGAAGTATTATAGGAGTTGGTTAATACTATCTATGCCCATGACATGATGTTTAAAAAGACATAGTGTCATTATGAGTAGTACATGGCTAGAAGGGGCAAAGGTCAACTATATAAATAGTGAATATTCATTTTTATTCAGATTACTGTGCCATACGTTTTACTTGATTTCATTTCAAGGACAATTTTATAATAACATTATTTGAGAAAGGCTGTCAGTGGAATTTCCCACATGTGCTCTCTTAGCAGGAGTATTCATTTCCACATCAGCCACTGCTGGCAACAACTGGAAGCAATCTCACTGGAGGCTGTCAATCAGCTGTAAGGAGGTTTTGTTTTGTATATGTTTCTGTGTCAGTGTGATAGAACTGGGTTAGGAGGTAAATGTCAGAGAATGTTTGTGTGTGTGTGTGTGTGTGTGTGTCATAGGATATCAGGGTGTAGATGTGTGTGCACTTGTTATTCAGGCGTGCAGCCAATGTGGAAGCTCTATCCACAGCTTCATATTCAAGTGGTTACACTGCCTGATTACAGACATGTCACTCACACACGCAGCGACTAACAAGGACTGTACAGTATGTGAGTGTATGTGCACGTGTGTTTCTTGCTGTGAATGCATGCTTCCAGAGAGAGCATTTAGATTTAATTGCTGATCTTTCACTGCTAGAATTGTTTTTTGAGTTTCCCAGAATTCCAAGATGTTACTGGACCCTCACCGAATCTATCTTTAAAAAACATCTATGGTTACACAAGATCATTTGCATAATGTGAGAGACCGTGTAAGAGAGCAAATTAGTATTTATGTGTGTCTATGTAAATGTGAATGTTCACACACACACATAATTACCTACTGCAAGCTGACTCAAAACACACAGCTGTTCAACTCCGCATTCAATATCAGTCACACATACCCCCCCAAATAATTCAAAAACACAGCACAACTTGAAAGCTAATCACAATTTTAGAAACTAGTTCTCAGGGACGGCTTCAAAGCCACTTCAATATTCCTTTTCTGCTGGTTGCCTCAAAGACTGACAAGACTCCAGGTAGTAAGTGGGCCTGGCCAAATAGTCAAAACCATAACCCAAAGCGTAATTTTTCAAAAGGTTTGATGTTTGTAGACACTTTCTTTTACATGGATTAAACAAATGAGAAATAGTGTGTTAACCAGTGAGCATGATAGGTGCTGGTAGGCAGATATTGCTTCCTTCAGACAGAGTCAGGTGAGCTGTTTCCACTTGTCTCCAGTCTGTATGCTAAGCTAAGCTAAGCCGTTGTCATGCGTGTACTATTGCAAGAAAAACCTTGAAGCCCAACTCACTCCATTCATGAGGTTCTGATGGTCTCCTTCTGGATGTCCATTGACTGCCTTCTTCTGACTAGAAATAGAGAGGAATGGAGGAATAGAGAGAGAGAGAGAGAGAGAGAGAGAGAGAGAGAGAGAGAGAGAGAGAGAGAGAGATATGTGGATGATTAAAAAGCACAGAGAACACCGCGTAGTCCTAAAATAGCACCTTGTGTGATATAAAGGAAAATTAAGAGGTTTCTTTCCAATAATGATGAGGCTAAAGTGCTAATACTTTCAGGTTTTGGGGTGGATTTCTAAACAACATCCTTGTTTCTGGCTTCTGTGTGCTTTCCTGTGTTATTATTAGTTGTATTCATTGCTGTACATTTTTATTGACTGTATTGTCTGTAAGCCAAATTGGCCCTTAGGGACACCACTGCTCTGTTCCTGACGTGTCAATACCAGGAAACTGTCAAATCATAACACATGTCAAACTTTCCTGCCATCTTCTAAATATGTGTGTTTCCTTGAACATCAACTCCAACAGCAACGAGTTTTTGCGTGACTGTGTGTCAGAAGGTGTGCTCACCCCTGGCAGCTAGCACAGAGCATCAGCAGCACAGAGACCAGGAGCAGGGCAGTGAGGGTGCTGAGGGTGACGGCTAGGACCAGCTGCCCACTGCCCAGCCACGACGCTATGCCTGTAGCAGCTGCCGCCCCTGACCCGGCGACACCTGCCTCCAGCCCCCACCACACTCCACTCAGCACCGGAGCCATGACGCATCACACTGTGGCAGGAGAGGACATCGGACAGGTACCGGCTGGAGAAACACAAGAAAATGAACGAAGACAAATTAAAAATGTGTCATGAATATTTTTTGCACATTGAAAACCGACAAACCAAATGATCTAATTTACCAACAATTATTTATTCTTTCTTTGAACAGAGACGCTTTGAAGTTTGAGCAAATGAAATGGAAACTCCACGTTATATTACCATACGTGACATTAAATATGCAGTGGAAGGATCTGTGTGTTTTCACTTTCTCTGCATATCCTAAATGATTATTCTTGATTGAGGATAAGTACAATTTACTGAAAGATACAATCTGCAGAACTCTGCAAACTGTGTTTTATTTGTCAAGCAAACACACTGGATTGACTTGATTTTGGTGTAGCTGTTTCATCACAGGAAACAGCGTGAATCACCTCCCAATTCTATTGCGAAACAGCAGTGAGTACTAACATGACAATTTCAATCTGACAAATACACTGGGGAAAAATACACCGGCTATGTTGGCCATTTTTTAAACATTCACTGATAAAGAACTAAAGGTTTAATAATAAAGTCAAACATACAACCTAACTAACCAGCAGCTCAACTGCATACTGTGCTCAGATGTGGCCACCAGGTGGCAGCACATAGCAGAGTCAGACTGCAGTGCAGACAGGGAGTCTGCTGCAGTGGCCCTTAACACCAGAGACTCCACAACTAGTGTCTGGGCTCTGCGCACAGCATAAGCAACCTCATCACGTCTCTGTGTAACAGCCAAAGTTGGGTTTCACTGAACTGATGGAACCCCTGATGTTATCATGGGTGATTTATGGCGCTGTGTGGTGCCGCGGGTGACTCACGGCATGGGGAGGGTGGTGGTAGGGATGAGCTTGTGTGTTACTCTAAGCCTCAGAACAAATAAACGTGGAGTAGAGGGGCTTGTATTCTAGTCTGTGTGTGTGTGTGTGTGTGTGTCTGTGTCTGTGTCTGTGTCTGTGTGTCTGTGTCTGTGTCTGTGTGTCTGTGTCTGTGTGCGTGTGTGAGGACAGTTAGCACTGCAGTGTATGATGGAGTTGGAGGGGAAGACGATGAGTAGCAGGAATGAAAATCCAAAAGAGAAGGTGACACGCAGGATGACTGACAAGGAAATACAGTGAAAAAAAAAACACACAAAGTCAGGTGCACTTTCTCTCTGGTTATCTATCCATCTGCCCTCTTTTGCATGTCCTCCTTTCAATCAGCCGACAAGACAGCTATAGCAGTCCTGGCAAGGATCGGGAGGCTGTGACAAAAATACGTCAATCTAATCTTTCCCCATCTCTTCTTCTCTGGCGTGTGCATGAGCCAAACTCCTGTCTGGAGGAATGTGTATGTGCTTGCATGTACAGAATGTGTGTAAGTGGTAAAAAAAAAATAACTCCATTGAGTTTCTCAGCTCGCTTATGCTAATGCGACTGGGGAGTGTGGGATTTGGGGAAGCGCACCTCGTCTTCTAGCAGCGAGGAAGTTTTGTGGCTAATACAACGGTGCTGCAGAACTTCTTCCTCAAAAGGACACGTGCAAATCCTGTTTTTGTTTTTTCCAGGATGAGAAATACACCCGGAGCTCATGTTGCTATCAGTGTGAGTGGCTGGTGAGAGGCAAACACAACCTTACCTTGACACCTTGGATGATTAGTCAGGTCGGCCTTGCCTGGAAGAGAGCAGATAAAAACGAGGAGGGGGGGATTACTGCTTGGTGGAGGTAAAGCACTGAGCTGAATATTATCCTTGGAGGGTAGTGTTGTTGTTGTTGTTGTTGTGTGCGTGTTAGTGGGAGAGCAGCGTGGGGATTCTGAATATGTTTGTGTTTTTTAATACCCATATCAAATACACAACAGGCTGACGCCATCCCTCAGACTACTTCTGTTCACACACACACACCTTCAGGCATGTGCAGTGTCTTCACTCCACACACACAATGCCCACTTTATTGACTAGTCTGCCCATGTAACTGAGAGGATAATAACCAGGTGACATCATCTCTGATTTGTATCATGTAACATGATATTATATGATTATATGAATAATGATATTCATTGTCTTCTCCACACTGTTTAATATCATGGACACACACACACACTTGTGTACTCCCCAAGCTTGTTTCAGTCTACAAACATCAAACCTTTGAATCCTCGCTGCTACACCAGGGGTTGTTTTACATAAAGGTAAACACACAGTCTTACTCAATGGGATTTTGACCTTGATCTGCCGATTTTGCTCGGAATGACTTAAAATCAGAGGCTATGTGTGGTCAAAATGTCGTCAGGTCTTTCACCCTTAACATGACTAACACCTGGTAAATTCTGTATTTGGTCTGGACTGAGAGGTGTCCAGGTGTCACTATCTGCCACCGTGTGCCAACACCAGGATAATTACCGGCTGCCACAGCGCTGTGTCACCATGGCAACATTCCCTTCTTCCCATCAGTGCTATTTATGGTGGTAGAGAGAGAAAGAGAGAGGGAGAAAAAAAAATCCACAGAAATGTTTTGAACGCAACTCACACTGTAGAGAAATATTAAGCTGCAGGTGGTGTGTGTGTGTGTGTGTGTGTGTGTGTGTGTGTGTTAGGGTGTGTTACTGGTTTAGTGTGCATGGTTATGTCTACACATTTGGTTTTACCATAGCCTTTGTTGTACTTGATGGATGATAATGAAGATGATGAAGTCAAAGTTCAGGGTCACCTACTAGGACTTGAATATTCTTGAAAACCTCCCCACAAAGTCCAGCTTACTTATTTCCAAAGATTTCAACCACATCTCAAGGGCTCCCTCAGCTGATAGTGTAGCCCGTTTGTCATATAGATGGTTTAGTTGTTATCACGTGACCCAAGTAGGGAATGTATAGGTCGTGTGATAACAGGTGGTCGTATATGAGGGATGTTTTAACTGCTGTCTCTGTTCAAGTATGGTCACTACCCTTTCTGATGGAGACAATCTCCATTACGACCGAGCAACCACATCTGCTGGGGAAGGCCACAAGATGTGGTTGAAAGCTTTGGAAACAACAAGTTGGACCTTGTGTTAAGACTTTTTTTTCAAGATGCTGTTTCCAAGGTCAACAATGAACCGAATTTATGTGCCACACTATAAAGTTTAGTTTAGTTTAGTTAAGTTTATGTCAGCGGGAAAGTCATTTAATCAAAAAATAACCACAAAACAACATTAATTTGAGCAGGTGAGAAAAAAAACGAATCACTAAAAACACAGGCAAATTTGCATTTCTAAATAAAGAATTAAATAATAGTGTTGTTCTTACATTAAATCCCAATGGGCAAATGAAATTACCTTGACGTGTAGAAGCTGGAAAGATTACTTTTAATTATTCATCAAGGGATGCTCAGATCTGATTCTTTCTCTATCTGATTCTGATACCTCAACTCAGAGTTACAGGTTCCAGTGTACCCATGCTAACTTTTACCCCAATTTAAAAACCGTAAATAACACTGCATAGTACTGATTAGAATAATTTTATCTAAAGTAATATGGCCAGGAATCGCTGTGGCACTAAAAACTGAGTCGTGGTCTGCGGTGAGTGCATGAATGTGTGCAACTGCAAACGGAAACACACCAGTGCTGTTGTAAATATGTAAATGTAAATATTACATGGTCTTGTTGTGAACAGAGCTGATCTGTGTTCAGAGCATCGACGCCTCACACCAAACAGACGAGAACTCACAGACAGAGTGCATGATGGGACTGAAGACGCTGCTGCTCGTCTCTCTGCTCGGCGTTCTGGCACTGGAGGTGTTGGCGGGCCTTAAAGGTGGCCCCATAGTTGGAGGTGTGACCAACATCAACAAGGACGACCAGAAGGCCCTCCTCGTCGCCACCAACTACTACAACACCCAATCAAAAGACCCCTTCCTCTACAAAATCTCCTCCGTCAGCAAGGCATGGAGTCAGGTTGTTGAAGGGACTTTGTACATCGTGGATTTGGTGATTTCCAGGACCGTCTGCCGTAAACCCCCCAGCGTCCAAAATCTGTCCAAATGCAACTTTCAGGCTCCTCGCAAGACGCTTCAGTGTCATGTTGAGGTTTTGGTGGTTCCCTGGCAGAAAAAGACCAGGACTCTGGAGTTCAGCTGTAAAGCCTCATCCCTGATCCCTCCACCTGTCTGCTCCTCAAATTTATTGTAAAATCTGCAATAAAAACACTACAAACCAATGGTAAACAAAAAAATAAAAATAAAATAATAATAATAATAATAATATTACATGGTCTTGCTTTCAAGTAGCATTAAATTTGCCCTCTGAGGCAGAGAGCTCCCGCACATTTGTTGCACTTGCAGCCATCCCCTTTCATTGTACTGTCTCCTACTCTACTATGCCACATTGTACGTCATTAAAAAAATCTCAGTCTTCACTCACTTGGTATGAAGAACCTGTTAACTACAAACACAGATCCAGATCTCAATAAGATTTCTGACATAGTTCTCTGCTAGTAGAAAATATGTGTGGAGTAAACCATCCATTCTTCCCTCTGAGGACACACTTAATTCCTAAATACCCGATAAATACTGCACATAAAAGCTCTGAGTATCTTTTTTCACAGTGGAAAGCTCCTCACAGGCCACCACCATGTGATACAAGACAAAGAGCCAAGGACTACAACTGTACTTTCTTGTGCAGTCATTCTCTTTCTCCCGGCGCGTTCATGCTTTAATGAAAGAAAACAGAAGCCTTGGAAGCAAGAGACAATCAGTGTGGCTGTCTTCTGTTTCATGCCATAGGAAATAACTGACTGGAAAAGCCATTTGAAAAGGAATGTGTTTTGGGAATTGCAGGCAGAAATCCAAAGTCTACCCTCACACAGCTGTACACACACACACACACACACACAAAGAGTAACCACAAGCCCCATCAAAGCATAACCCTCCATGCAAGAAACTAGAGCCATGGAGCCAAGGAATCCAATTTGAGCCCTCCTGCTCTACAGGAAAAGACCCTACCTGACATTGCAGTGAAGCATACCATCCAGGCAGAGCAACGTGTGTGTGTGTGGGAGTTTCATCTGTTGGACAAGCTGTTGGATAGCAGCAAAAACAGGAGAAAGAGAGAATTAACATCCACAGGCAGAGCAGTGCTTCACTTTCTGTGGATGCCTTTGTGGCTGTGTGACACCTCCCTCTGCAGGGTCCTCTGGGTGCACACAGACAGGGAAGGTTTACAGCTGGATGGCTGCTGAGAAATGAGCCCCAGGAAGCTTCTCACTGGAGAGCCAGAGGCATTTCCACAATAATAAATAATCTAGTTTTTGGGGGGGAGAAAAAGCATCGACTTTCTTTAAGCAGTCATGCTGGTGTGGAGCACAGCAGGAAGCTCAAAGCAGCAACATTTCTAAAATTAAAAAAGGGAGTTAGAAGTGATGACTCCGTTTTGTGCACTGTTTGGGGGAAATGAACCAGAAGTTATTGTTACAAAAGCGCTGTATGCAAAAGTTTACTTTGTCTAGTTTTCTGTGATCTTTCTGGGCAGCAAAAATATGAACACACACACACACCCACACAATACCAATGACATTACACTTTGCAGTTCTGCAAGGACTAAGCACAACCCAAAGACCTTATGTTCATGAACAACAACACAGTACCCTGCAAGGCTTCTGTACTGTTGAACACACCGTGTACCACATTTCAAATATATATATCCCATTGAAACAGAAAAATAACACAAAAAAAGGCTCCTCTAGAGCCCTCCGTCTCCACTTGTCATCTCCATTTCTCACCCCCAGCATGCAATATCACGCCCCAGCATCGTTAGCTAGCTAGTGTTTGTGAGAGGGGGAGTGCCTCCTTTGTTGACATTATAATTTCACCAGGGCGATGTGGGTATAACTAGGGTTAATAAGTGGTATACACAAGTGCAAACAAGTGTACATCATATATACCCAAATGCACAAATTGTTCTTAAAAAGAGCTTTGTGGGATTTCCATTGGTCACTATAAAAACAGAAAAACAATTAACACGGATGCACCACATAATATACACACCACTGACCATCTTGTGTCCTGACCGGAGGGCCATTTGGATGGTGGGGGCGGGAGACATGGGGGAGGGGAGAAGAAAGATAGGGGACTGCTGCCAAGAGAGTAGAGAAAGGATGATAAAGAGAAAAGGGGGGGGGGGGGGGGGCACAGAGGGAGGACAACTCTATAATATATACTCTATTTTATGCTTGTCAGCATTGTATTATAGTATTATTGTATCTTTTTATATTTTTTATATACTTGTAAATTTTTTCTGATCTCCTTACTTTTTATATATTTATATTACTGTTTATGTTATGTGTACTGTAAGCACCAATTCATACCATGGCAAATTCCTCGCATGTGAAAATGTACCTGGCAATAAACCCGATTCTGATTCTTATTCTGATAAGAAGTGGTAACAAAATAAAGAAAAAGAAGGGGTGAAGGAAACAATAGGAGGAAAGCAAAAAGCACACACAGGCCCAAATAGTCATAGTGACATAAACACGCATACATAGTGCACACAAACCCATCCCCAGGGAGGGTTAATGAAATACAACTCCCTACAGGCTGCAGTGCAACAGGGACACTGCCCTGACTGAGATAATGCATTAACACACACAACACACACACGGCCATATCTGTTGAATTAAATGCATCGTTACAAATAAAAGAAGCTACAAGTGTAAGTTCATAAATGAGGAGCCATGGTGCCGAGTCACTGTATATTCAACGCTAGTCAGTCTTGCACGGTCTAATTTACTAATCACTGTCCGTCTCAGCATGTGTGCGTATGTACACGTGTGGCTGTGAGCTTGTACGAGCATGAAAAACAGGTGCTTCTGATCAAGGGACATAATTCATGTTGCCATGGCAACGCTGTCCATCCTAAGGGGTTAGTGGTTTTAGCATGAGAAATTGATCTATCCTCCCTAAATGGGGAAATTGAAACTGCATAATTTAGTAAGGCTCTTCTCTTCTCTTCTCCCCCCCACCCCTCTGCCTCTCTCATATTACAGATATGGGTGTTGCAAGATACAGTCGTTATATCTCCTAGCGGCAACATTTATATCTATCTCCCACTGGGGACTTATAAGCGAAATATGAAGCATTTTCCACAAGCAGATAAACGTTTCACTCCCTGGAGTTGTTCATGATTGAAAGAGATTCAAAGGGATACAGCCGACATGCAACCAAACATCTTATCTTTCATTCACTGAAGTACACTGAACATTTGCACATATGTTTGTTCTTTTGTTTTCCTTTTCTCTGTATGCATCTTGTACTGCAATGAACACATTTTGAAGAGGTGAACTATATCCTCCACTTGTTGTACTTTATGATAAATCCTTCACAACCACATTTTATAGGACGGCAGGGTGGTCTCATGGTTAACTGGGAAATCTTGTTTCAATCTCATCTTCTCTTCTCTTGAATCCCTCCCAGCTGCGAGGCCACAGAAACAGCAACATGTGTATTCACGATAAATGACAAAGCTTCCCTCTCCCTAAGCATTTCTGTGTACTGACCTTACAGTCCACAAAGGCTCTGTGTATATGTGCAGGGTTTGTGTAAACATATGTATGTGGGCCTGGAAACTCTGCCTTTAGTTAATGTCACACAGCCCCGCGGGAAAGAAACATTTCCTGTCTTCCTCCCCCGGTTTTCGAGGACACTGATGACCATGGAGTCTTTGGAGGCCTGTTTTTGCCCACAGAGACTCTACTGAACCAGAAACTACTGTATTCTAATTGGATGAACACAGTGCTGTAACTCAATTGAGGCTGGATTGTAGATGTATAATGTTAAGCTCTGAATTTCAGGGTATTTTTGTGACAAACATGGAGGATGGCAACCTCACTTTAATATATATATAATAGGCTAATATTTTATAAGTTACACAATTGTTTAGCAAAATTTACATTTAGCATCTCAGGTAGCCCCCCCGCCTTTATCCTACTTTATCTAATCTATTAATGTCTTTTTTGTTGCCAATGCCCGGTGCGTTGCTTTGCATTTATATAATTTAGACTTGATTTTATGAGCATCCGTTCTACTAAGCTCTGCAATGTGTGACTATGAGGAAAGAATGGATCACACTCAACGGAAAGAATCCCCGCCCTCAATCACTTTGCATGTTAGTTCCACTTTTCTCCTTGCCTTCCTCCTTCTTTCGTCCAAAAACGGTTTTCTCAGGCTTGCTTAGTTCTGTCTTTCATTTTCAACTCGACTTCACATTCTCCCACAGCTCCCCCAAAAGTGGAAGTACAGTACTATCAACATTAAGAACTTCACACATCAGTAAAAACACGATCCAGAACCACCACTGCCCTCTGATCTTGACAAGCAAAAACCTTCCTGGCGCAGTGTTTATGCTCGTGTTTTTGCCACTGCTTTGCAAGCAAACATCTGTCAAATTGAAATTTAATGAGTTGGTCCAAATTCCACACAAGCTTGTTTTTTATTTTTATTCTCCACATCCTGACAAAGCACTTTCATTCCAGTTGTTCCAGTGAAAAATATGTCCTGTCACTGTCTCAAATTGATTAGCTTCGTGACAGCGCTGCCGCTCAGCTAATAATAAAATGCTAAGACACAACAGACTTCAGTAATTGTGCAGTGGAGCAATTTTCTGTGATTAAACAAACCAGCCAGCCGTGTCATTTAAATATGTAAATTATAAAGAGTGCGCGGAGCGTGACAAAAAAGAGATGGACTGTTGTAATGATTTCAGGGATTGTCACTCACATTGTAAGTGACCTTCTCTGCAAACACTAATGGAGGTTTGGAGGGGAATTGAACAGTTGAACTCTGGGAATTTGAGAACGAAGAGCATGGACAGGGCTGCAAAGTGAGGTTAACAAAGGGCGTCTGGTTGTCTATGTGTGAGCGTGTGTCTAATCATTCTGACTACCGCTCTCCAACAAAACCGATACTGAACTCGAAAAAACAGACCTTTAACTGCACTTATACAAACAGATACACCGCATATCAGGGGATCACATACCCGGAGTAGGAAACAAAAGATTTATTCAGCGCTGAACGACTGCAGGCATAAAATTTCTCCATCATTGTCACCTTGAGATGAAGATTAGCATTAGAGTGAATGAGGAGTAGATACAACCACATCATTATTCAGTGGCATTGGCCTTTATGTGTTGAATAGCCGCCAAGATAAAGGGATTATCAGGCTGGATGGAATAGGATGAAGGATGTGTGTGTGTGTGTGTGTGTGTGTGTGTGTGTGTGTGTGTGTGTGTGTGTGCGCGCGAGGTAATTCATTCCAAAAGCTGGTAATGAGATGCAACAGATGCCTAGAGACGCATGATCTCATTCTCGCTCTTGCAAATACACACGCACGAATGAAGGCGACACATGGACAACACACATCCACACTTTTCTCTTTCAAAGATGTATTAACAAGCACCAATATAATTGTTTTTTTCTTCCAAGTCTTGGAGTCACACCCCAAAGCTGTGGAGGCTGCACACCATTCTCTGAAAACTGCCTCGCAGCACTTCATTTATCTCCTCCGGTGACACCAGCCTTTTGGACAAACAGCACAGGGAAATGGAGGGTATTAATAGGCGGTGTGTGTCTGCATGTATGTGTGTGTGCGAGCAGATGAGCAACTGAAATGGAAATGTGATCCGTCTTTACAAGGCTCTAACCACAGCAGGGGTGGGTTTATTAGGCAACCCAGACGGGGCGAGTGGCAGGGGGTCGGACCCTTTCAACCCTCTGTAACGTTGGCCTATAACACACTGTGACTGTGCTTGAGAGGGAACACAAGTCTGCTTTGCTAATGAATGCGTGTGCATATTTGAGGCGAGGTTAAGGAGCAGAGAGGAGGGAGGGTGAAAAAAGTGAAGGAGTGCAGCTTCTGACCTTTCAGTATGAGCCATTTTTCAGACATACTTCTGCTGGCTTGGACTGTTTATCACACACACACACACACACACACACACACCCTCTTCCTCCCTATCTAGCTCTGGCGATGTACCTCTCCCTTGTCCTCCACTTCACATAAACCGCCAACTCTTTCACGTCTTCCCTGTCCTCGGTTGTGTCTTTTCTACAATTGATATCTCTGTTTGTGTCCTTCCTCTCATTGTCTTTGTCTATAATGCAGTCAGTTTGTTCTCCCTCCACCTCTCTCCTTCTCCTCATGCCCTCAACCTCTTGCCTCACCTTTCCCTGTGTCCTTCCAGAGCGCATAAGGATATGGTAAAATATGGAAGCCTGCAGGGACTCAAAGGGCATATCTACAATCAGAAACAGCAGCTGGGGGTGGGGGATTCCAGCCAAACATACGTGGAAACCTCTACAAGAAGTAGGAGGAGGGGGAGGATGCTGCAAGACATGGCAACTCTCAGACAGCAATCTTTGGATTTCTGGTTAAATCGGTCCAGCGCACACCTGAGCAACTCTGGAAGATTGCATGAGGCACCACCTTTTTCTCAATTCCATCTGATTCCTCATTTCACAAGCCAAAGCTTGTTCCATATTTGAAGGCAGTAAAAGTAGGAAGGGTGTTCATTGAAGAAGAGGCACTCCAGGTCAGAAGGGAGGAATCAAAACCAGCAGCAAATTTGGAGCAAATGTGCACAAGTTACAGTTTTTGTTCCTATTCTAAAGGAATAGTTCAATATTTTGAGAAGTAAAAATCTCATATCTGTACAGTAAACATGATGCTACAGTCAGCATTTGGTTAGCCTAGCTTAGCATACAGACTGGAAACAGCTACCCTGGCTCTATCCAAAGTTGACTTAATCTGTGTACCTGCACTTCTAGGTTACTAATTAGCACATTATGTATCTTGTTTGTTTGGTCTGCACAAAAACTGATGGGTTGAAAGGTCAAGTTGTGGTTATCTTACAATTTCTCAGCCGGTCACAGTTATCTGCTTCCTTGTCAACGTGAGGTTTCCACGTGGGGGGCTCCAGGAAGTCTGCAAAGAAGTAGCCTGGCACATGTACCTGTAAAACCACAACACAAGATCTATTAACGATCTATTAACCAGTGATCTTTAGAGCTGCTGGTAGGCAGGTTTGTTACCTTCAGACAGAGCCAGGCTAGCTGTTTCCTCTTGTTTGTGTTAAGCTAAGCTAATCTGACTTCTTCTCATCTAACTCATGTTAACTCAAATTTCGCATAATGTCAACCTTCTTTAAGTTGCCAATGTTTCTGACAAGCTTGTTACAGTAAAATACATTACAGCTAAGAGTTTTACCCACCTGTTGTTTGTCAGTGAAGATACCAAATAGATGCAGATGTCTCACACAACTGTAGCCAAAAACTGTATATCACTTCCTTTTTCTAGAAGCTGCTTGCTATATTCAACAACTATATGAACTAGAGGGCCTTAGCATGTATAATAAATATATAACACAGTAGAATATTTATTTACAAAGCGGCGGTGGATGCCACAGCCCTTCTCAAATCAGTTAATGGGGGCGACTCAGTGTGTCCCGAGGGAGCGCTGGAAACCAAATGAACCAACTGAATGTGCATCAGAGCAGCACACAGAAGCCTGCTGGTGGCGGAGAAAATCTGCTGTCAGTCACACACACATGTACACAATTATTTGCGCACACACGCACACTAGAGATGTGTAGACACACAAATGCAGCGAGAAAACCAACGCACATACACGCCCGCCCGCACGCCCGCCCGCACGCCCGCACGCACGCACGCACGTACGCACGCACGCACGCACGCACGCACGCACGCACGCACGCGTCATTTGAATAGAGATGAACCAATTAGCCGGCGACAGGCACCAGCGTGACAGAGAGAGATGGAGGGAGAAAGAAGGAGTGAGCCAAGTGAAAGAATAAATTAAAGCACTCAGTTGGGTAGGCAGCGGACTGAGAGGAAAATGCAACTGAGACACGTTCACACTTTCAAGGAAGCTGCGGTGGCCAGAGACAAATCCATTCTGACACAGTGGGTGGATAATGTGGCAAGATGTGTGGAGAGATCGGGACAGACAGGTGTGACACTCACTGATATTATTCACAAAGTGACACGGAGGAAGGAAAGTAAGTGGAATAGTCTCATAAAAACGAACAGTGCTGAACTGAACTGTACAGTACAGATGTGACAATTTAAAGGAAAAACCATCCGTGTCTTAAGTAACGTGTTTGGTCAAAACCAGGTTTCAGAACAGCTTCAATGTCCTTGGCATATATCCCGATATGGTAGTTTGTCCATGTCCTGGATGGACCACACTTGCAGGCCTTCCTAGCCCATCCACTACAGCCTGCTGCTGCCAATCAGCTTGCAACTCCCTTACTACAGGGGGGGTAATGTTTGTGTATATGTGTTGTGGGCGCGTTTTCCTTCCTGGCACCTGGCTCATCTCCATACCTGACTCCAATCAATTCATCAACTTCCTGCAAAAAAATACTCCAGCACTCCTGCCACCAGATTGTTCTGTCTCCTTTGTGGTACAGTGACTCTCTGCCAAACTTTTTTTTTCATGTGTTTTTGCTACCATGTGTTTTCCAACCATACTACACCATCTCCAGGCTGCCTGCCTCCTGAATTCAGTCCTACCAGCCCTTTCTACTCCAGCTCTGTGTACACATATAGCCAAGTCATTTCTTTTACTACACCTAACCAGACCTTAACCACGGGAGTGTCAGATCAGAAAAGAACAAATTATGTGTCAATTACTAATGCAATTTGTTGTTTAATCTGGAGATCGGCTGGTTGCTTTCGCCACTCAATAATTTTGCCTTTAATTTGTTGTTCTTTTACCCGCTTGTATACTCAACACTGTGCACTGCTCAGCACGCACACACACATCTGAACTCTAACCATACTCTTCCAGAGTGCTCCTTGTTATCAAGAGCCATTACACTGCAGCATTTGTAAATTACCTCTCATTGCTCCTGACCGCAAGCTCATATTAGACCATTAGCAAAGCCCTGGACACTTAACACACTTTGCACAACACACGCCACGCTGCTCTGACCCATGGAGTGCTGCTGATGGTGAAATTTCCTGTTGGTATCACCCTGGGTTAAATATGTAATGCAACATATGGCATCATATTATAATGATAATGACTTGTCCTTTCTTAAGAACTGCCTGGCAGTGTATCAGCGTCATATCAATTATTGAGTCGGGCCATCAGAGCAGACAGGATGTTGCTCGGTGTAGATTACAAGGATTTCTCCAAAGAGGAAGTCAATTAAAAGAATACGGACATGGCGTCTTTAAATAGATGCTGAGTGAAGTAAACCACCTGTTGATATTTGCCATGTCATCCTGTGTCATCCTGGAAATAAAATATATATATATATTTTAAAAACCACAAACCCCAGCTAGATTTGTGTGATTGTTGCTTAGATGAAGATTAAACAGTTACCGTCAGCTGACACAGCACACACAAGAAATCATCTCTTGAGGCGGAATTAACGGTGTGAACAGAGCCAGATAAGAGATTGCAGATTTTGTCCTAAGCTGCTTGGGCGCAAAAATGACATCTACAATCTCCTCACTTCCTACCACAAAGTTGTTGTGTAAGATTTCCTAGAAATACACAACAACATTTGGAAACTTTACTTTTGAAAATTCACTTAGTGAACACTTTCATGTACTTTATGATACATTTACTGTAGGTGTGTACCGTACACATGAACATCGCATTCCCACTCTCAACTCCAACAAGGTTAAAGAGTCCATTAGAATGTGTGTGTGTTTGTGAGGGAGTGAAGTTTGACCCGGGGTACGCTTTGGTGTGGGGACAGTTGCCAATTGTATTCCAGCGAGAAGTCTAAAAATATTCTAAACACACACACGTACACACATAAGGGCAAACAGTTTGGGAACAGAGGGTGAAGAGAGGGACTCCCGCGAGGAATCAGTGGAATGTAAACAGGCCACCCACACACATAAAATCACACACACATACACACAGAGTGCTTCATCAGAGGCCGTGAGATGACGGCCTCATCTGGAAAAATATGCCCCAGAGAACAGTGCAGTTTGTAGGGATTGTTTGCCTCCTCTGTCCTCGCACTGTCCTCCATAACGCCCCATGAGAGGCTCCAGGATTGCAGCTGCATGCTGGGAAATATGTCAACCTTCACCCTTTTGTTTTGTACCAAACGTCCTGTATACAAAAACTGACAGAATTATGGGTATAATGATGCAGCTGCACTCAGCCACACTGAAGACATTAGGCTAAAGCTAAACCAGGGGTACTAAGACTTAATCAAAAAGTCAGACAGTATTATTCATATTATCCCCCACCTCAGTAATACAGTGCCCACAGACACACACACACACACAAATACACATTACTTCGTTCTAATCCTATGCATGGCTCAGATAAGAGACCTCAGCCCTTCTCCTGTTAATGAAACCCTCTGGGTCACTCACACCGCAATTTGTGTGCTCAGATACATCATTCAGTGGCAGTTCACATACCCAAGAGGCACTGCTTTTAGACAACTGTAATCAATTACACTTGTAGCAGAGCTGAACTTCACGGTAATGTGGTGGTCAGGGGCATGAATTCGACATGGGGCTTTTATTATTACACACGGGGTTGGCCAAACCCCTGCCGTCTTTAACACGTTCTCAGCCATATGACGCCATTGTTGTGTTATTAGGCCTATGGCCCACATAACCGGCTGCTCTAGAAATGACTTTCTGGGTCGCTGGGGGATTATTGTAGGGCTAACGCCACAGCACACAGTCCTGGGGGCCACAAATGGGTCAAACACTGCCTCATTTATAAAGCAGCACAAACAATGAAACCTGAAGTAACCTTGAGAGCTCGTTCCTTAGAGATCAGAAATCCACAAGTGGGCTCTTCTCACTTAATTAGTAGGAACAAGTCTAGACAAGCACCAGTAAACAGCAGCTAATTTCCTATGTTTTGGCCTCTCCTGGCCCTTTCCTGTTGTTCGTCTTGCCACTTAGCTTAGCATAGTTAGCCTTCCTTCTGCTTTTGGCTACCACAGCTATTGTTCTGCTGACAGGCCCCGAATAAACAGCTGGTTGCACCACGTGTTTCTCGCCACAAGTGCTACAAACAAATGACTCTAGGAGTTTGAGGTTTTGAAAGGATTGATTCATTGCATTTTTTTCTTATATTTTCTTTTGTTTATATTATGTGCACAGATTTATGAAGAGATTATCGTTCTTTGGTTTTGTTGTTTGTGTCCCCATGGCAAGTTGTACCTTTTATAATCCTTTAAAACAATAAATATGTGTTTGGAAAAAAAGATTCTTTCTTCAGCATGTGTGAAACTGTTCATTTCAAATTCTTTCATAGTGTGTTTTATTTGCGATATTGGCCATGATGACAATGACACGTTTGTCTAGAAAAACTTCATGGGTAAAGGAGAAAAAAAATTGCATCATTAATAAAATATAAAAGCCACGAAATGTAAAAATGTATTTCTAACTTTCAAAAGTGACTTTAAGGTGGAAATAAGTGTGTCTCTTAATAATCTAAATTCCAAGAAAATGTAAAGAAAGGAATACTTCAGGATTTGAAGAAACAGTAAACACTTGCATGACTGGAACGTTCATTTTATAATTTTTAACAACCTCTCCTGACTACTGCATATTAAGTATCACTTAGCTTCAAAAGCACCTTCTCCTTTGACTCCTAACTTCATTAAATACAAGGAGAGAAGAGAGACAATCAATCAATATGATAAAACAACACCCTTTATGTGGTTATACTGGCCTTATATTTCACTGTATGGTCATGATGGCCCATTAAATTAGCCAGACTGTACAGTAAAACAGTAAAAGAAAAGGAGTTGAGCTGAGAGCCCTGTGAAGATCCGGAAAGGTAAAGAAAGCTATGACGTTGTCCAAAAAGCCTCATTACTATCTCTTTCATTTCTACAGGAAATACAAGAGACAGTGAAAGGGCAGTAGAAGACATGAACTGACTGCTGAAGCGCCACAAGCTGCTGGGAGACTCAATATACCCCCTCGAGACAAG